CGGGCGGGCTTCGTGGGAGAGTCGCATGCGGGACAAGCCGGAGACGATCGTCGGAGATTTCAAAGGGATTTAAAGTTAGAATCAATTAAAGCTCACGAAGGTCTCCCCTCTTTACGTATCACACGGGTGAAATGTAATTCTCGCGCGTCGATCGGACATATCGTACGAGATATCTCGATCGCGATTAGAAGCGACTCACTCGCGCGGATCTTCCTAAAAACAGCACGACGAAAAAGTACATCGTGCGATAACAGGGAAATTCGCTCCATCGCTCTCGATTGTCGCTCCCGACCTGGCACTTTCGCGAATGCTTATTTCCTCCGTGTTAGTTAAGCACTCTAGGGTTAATAATTGCACGGTAAAAATGCAGCCGAGTGGAATGAAACACTTTGCGGGGATTTTGGGGAGGAAGACGAAGAAAAATGGCCTTGACATTTCGCGGACATTTGAGAATTACGCTTGGCGTGGAGGCGACTTCGGAGATTAAAAGTTATGGAGAGCGGCGAATTCGTATGAAAATGAAACAAGTTTTACAAGACTTCTCTGAAAATGTCTCTGTCAGGAAGGATATTATTCTTCGTTCGTCCCAGCGGATACGAAATTATTACTACAAGCAGCCAAGCGTGTCCGATGTTCGGAGCTTAATTAAATCCTAGGAATCGTTCCGGTGTTAACGAATTCTCGCACGGGCATTCGCGAAATATTTCAACAGTTTCGGAACGCGAATAACCGGTTAAAATTAACGCGGAAATTTCCGGCTAACTTCCATCGAAGAAATTTATATCGAGAACTCGCCCGAGAGAAGCCACTTTTCGTGTGATACGCAAATAAATTCTAAATTCACGAGGGATGACGATCGCGTCAATATGCCGGCCGGAGTCCCGCGTGATTTATATAATTACCGTCAAGTCGCGCTTCTCATTCAATTTGCTCGTGATTAATAGTTACGATCAATTTTAATAGTAATTTAATGGTAATAAGAACTAATGGTCGGAAAAACACGCGAGACGAGGGCGAGACGAGGGAAATACGGAAGATAATCGACCGGATGAATTTGCACACTATGGAAATGCGAGGAACTAAAGAAAATCGGAAAATAGCGTAATGAGAAAAAAGAAGGCCCCGGGAAAATAAATTTAAAAAATTACCGTCGTCGTCTTTGAACTGCGTCCAAAGTTCGGTAAGTTGGGCGGTTTCTTCTTCAGACCACTCCTTGGGCAACCTCTTTTGTACCTCGGCTCGCACGCCCTAATTAATTGCGAGATTTAAGAAAATGGCTCAGACCCCACGTACATGGTTCGTAACGGAAAAGAAAAACCGAGATATTTTTAATTTGCCGGAAGCACCGTAATAGCATACGCTATTACGATTATTGTCCGATTTCTCACACGACAGTCAGTTTATTAATCTCACAGCCATTATATCTGACCTAGTTACTACTAGGTAAAATGTAATAACGGTGCATTTCGCACAATAATACCACACTAATGTGTCTGATAAGCTATGATTTTACGGATTAAAACTTGGCCACCGTGTACACGTAGCTGTTCATCCCCCGTAACCTCTACTACTCTCGGAGAGCGCTTCGCGTACGCATAATCTCCGAGCTCGAAGACGAAGCGTTCCGCGTATAATCCCCGAAGAAGCTCTTCTAAGTCAGTAGGCGTATTAAAATAAAAAAAAAAATAAAAAAAAGAAAAGGGAACGGAAAACGAAAGCCAGGTCGCTCGTTTTCCAGCGATTACGTTCCACCCTCGACGAAGCAGTGCTCCTACGACTGGCCCCTAAATGGCCGTCGAGCAATATCGCACGACTTCCACGGACTAAATGAATGTCAAATGAACACTCGACCCGCAGTCTCCGCAGATCTCTCTGCGCCTGAAGAGACGAAACGTACTCACGCATGAAATTATTTAAATGAAACGCTTCCGCGGCTAAGCCTTCCTGCCCCGGAGGACCTTTGCGAAGGAATCGATAATACCGGAGGAAACGTTTCCGCCGACGCAGTTACCCTCTTCTTCGCCAGTGACTGCGCGCTTATGATTAATAGCAAATTAAGATCGGGAAGGAGGGAGGGAATATTTTCTCCCCTTTCCAGTCGGGGCTGGTTCATCGCGCGCCGTTATACCGAAGGATTAATCGTATTTTGCGCGCTGTTTTTCGAGCGAAATAATTACGAACGTCAGGGGGGAGGGGGTTCTGGCTTTTTGCGCGAAGGCAAAGTGAAGTTGACGAAAGTGACGGGCGCTTCGAATGAAGATCGCACGTAAACGACTAGCATTTCGTTTCGAAGCGAAACGGCGAGCGCGGAAACGCTGACGTACCTTCCCGAGCGAACGAAATTTTTTTCGCTGAATCCTTTACACCGTGCACCGCCGGTGAAAAGCGCAACGGAATAAGACCCGGCACTATGTATCGCCTTTCCCTCCGCCGCGCTTTTTTCCTTGTTAGAGGAGCTTCCCTGCAAACTCAATTAATTTTAAGTTTTAAATAAGCCGGCAACTAGTTAGTAACTCTTCTACCGCAATAAGAAGCTTGATTAACGCATTCCCATGCTTTATCACCGTATTGCACTGTGCATTTTCCGAAGAAAAGAATTACGACGGGAGGGAAAGGGCGAAAACGCTCCCGCGCGCTCGGGATTAATACGTCTTTCGGGACGGTTTTTAGGAAATGCGAATAATCCGAGGGAGCGAGGGAAATTCAAGTAGCCGAGTCAAGCGGAGATCAACTAATTATAGTATTTTTAAACGCTTGTCGATTCAGTGCCGCTTGCCGAGACAATGTAAATTGCGGAACCACTAATAACACGCACATCCGTGGCTCGACAAACACTGCGCGAAACGCGTTCCCGCGTGACGTTCTCCTCCTCGTGTTTTCGTACCCCGTAGCGCGACGCGAATGTTTATATGTCGCGGGGGCAAAAGGCAAACAAAACGATAGCTTCTCGCGTGCTCGAGGAGACGCCGGTTTTAGGGCCACCGCCGGTTGACGAGGGAGACTCAGACATTTCCATGCTCCGGGAAAGAAACTACCGGCGGTAAAAGAACCCAAACGCGGTGGATCACGCCCGGGATCGTGGACAGAAGCGAAACGCAGAAACGCAAGGGTGGCGGAGCTCGTAGGTATTGTCTCCGGAGAATTTACAGTTCCTGTAGCAATTCCCGGCTCCATTTTTTGCATATGTTCGCCCCGTCAGCGGAGTCGGTCTAGAAACTTATTTTCGAGGCCGGGGCGACCTACCGCCCTTTCGAGATCCTCGTAAATCATTGATCTTGTCAGACGGCGGCACAACGGGGGTTGTTGCTTGCGAGGGCGCGCGAATGGCCCGATACTTTTTTGGGGCCGATGGCGGCGGGAATCTTTGCGAAATCTTTCACTGTTGTCGCTGAGCCCCGCGGAAGGAAAAAATTTCACTCGAGGTGAATTAAATTACTCTCGAGCGAGATAAAGGACCCTCGATTATTTGAGAGCGTGCTCAAAGCCATTGTGTGAGTAATCGTACGAAGGAAAAGTGACTTACCTTGGAATTCACGACCAAGCACATCTCCCTGAGCTTCTTAATGACGGTACGTCGCGTCCTGTCTTCGTTGATGATATGTTCCAACAACCAGTCGATCAAGTCTACAATGCATTTGTGACACTGCAGTTATCATAACTTCCGACTGGACTAACATCCTTTTTAATCTACATCTTTTTACTTTGTAGAAAGAAATGTGACGTTTTTTACAGATTAAAAAATGGCAACAAAGTAAAAATTATGAAAATAACAAAATGATCAACATTGCATTTAAAAGTGATACCAAAAGTTTGACATAAATATTTAAATATATCTGTGCGTTTCTATTGGATCGATTGATACATAAATATAATATTAATAAGAAAAATTAAAAAAAAAACAATAATATTTTTATATTTGTAATTATATACATGTCTATCTCAATTTTGTTTCAAATTAACATGTATTATTTATTAAATATATAGGAACGTAATTTTGCATCATAAATAGTAAATTCATGGGTGGCCCTTTGATACGTCACTAAAAATACGGCATTAATGGGCAACACAATTAATTAATTGTACTCTTCGTGTATCTTCGTCTCACATTATACAATGCAAAAAGGCTGTACGGTTTGGATGCTGCGTCGCGTTATGATACGCCAATCTATCGAATTCAACAAACTTGCATAAGAAATGGAGAACATAAAGAGTTTACCCTGGGGGTATTTGTTAGTCTGATGTTCCATGAAGAGGGTACGTAGCTCGTCCTCTTCCGCCTCGGTCCAGACTGCTCGTGAAACTTTCTTGTTACTCGTTTCTGCGCTGTAGCCATCCACGATTTCTGTCGCGTCACGGCTGGTCTTCCAGAAGAGCAGCTCCATGTACGACTTCCGGTTTTTCTGAGCGACTTCGACGAAACGACGGATTATGAAGACCGCGAACTTTTGCAGCTCCTTAAAGCAGGAATCGATTTTTCGCTGCTCGACGAGTCCACTTCCGTGAGCCATTAAGCCCGATACAAGGATGCAATAAAAGCTCGGTGGTAGAATTTATCGCACGGGCATAAGAAAGAGGGAGTGGATTTTTATCGCTGAGTAAGAAGCAGCGAAATATTACCCGAGGTATTCTTATTACATGCGAGGATCGATAATGTTCAGTTACGAAGAGAAGAGAAGGAAATCTACCGGAAAGGTATCCGTCGGTAGATGCGATATCAAACGCCGCAGAAAGTATGAAGTCACGTTAGTGATTTGATTTTGATTTGAATCGAAAATATGACGATTTTCTCATTAGTGACGTGATATGTATATCTTGTTACCTTGTGTACTGGATTCTTCGATTCGAGGATTCTTTGAAAAACCCTAAAGATGGACGCTTGGAATATCATAGCCGGCATTTTGCAAATCCAAGCGATTCGATATAGCATTTTGGTTACATAGTGGTTCACTTCGATCGTATTGACCTCGAATTGTTGTAGTAGCAGCGTTAAAGCTTTGACAACTTTCACGTTGGCGAATCTTTAATTGAGATATTATTTTTAACCGGGATATTGTTTTATATATTGTATTTTTTGATATAAGAAATACTTAAGTTAATTGAATAATTTTTTAATTTCTTCTTCAAGAAATGAGGTATAAAAAGAGTCGGATTTTTTCCTTTGTTCAGTTTTAAGTGAACTTCGTTTTAGCAATATTTTATTTGGAAGTTTAATCGTTAAAGCAATTAATGTTCAAAAGCAAAAAGTTATAAATGTTTAATTGTCTCGGAAATACGATAAAATTTTAGATTTGAGATACCTTATAATTTCATTTAATTCATATCGCACCTTTGAACAAATTCGTCCAATTTAAAATCGGTCTCCTGGAAAACAGTTTCCCCTTCCTCCTCTTCGTCGTCCTCTTCGTTCTCGACTGTGAGAAATATTATTTATATGTGCGTTATATGCAATACATCAAATATTTATTCGTGTAACGACAAAGAAATCCTATCTGTACCTTCGTGATTTACGGAATTCTCGATATCTTCGTCCTCGTTTATTGTTCCTTCAGCGACCGGCTGATCTTCTACTACTGAAAAAAATTAAATGAAACAAATCAAGTAAAACAAATAAATGAAAAATAGAATACTCGGCGCTGTCGTGTAAAAAAGTTTAATTCACACATCTCGTTGCGGTTCGATAATAGGTTGTTTCAGCGCGAAAATAATACTTTTCACACAATTAGGACGAAAAATATACATTTTATCAGGGGAAAAAACGTCGTAAATTAAATTTATTCGGTAATCGTTAGTAATCCGGCATTTTACTGTCAAGTTGGAAACCACCTATATTTTTGTCGTGTGTAAAGCCCGGAGCGTGATTTCGTATGTAGATAGGAATACATAAGCGTATCCTTTAAAGGGTACACAGGCGAGGCGTTTTAAATCATCGCGGTAAGTTTTCTTTGAGAGAGTTGTTGCTCCAACTAAAGAAAGCTTTCCACCGTCCGAAGAATTCAGTTTGTCCAAGTGACGGTGACGGTGGTGCTATTTCAGCTTAAAGTTTTAATTGTCTCTTCCCGCGGTCTGCTCAACTCGAAACAGTAATTTGAGATAAAATAAAGCACTCGTCCGAGTCACGGTGTGTTTTTATCTCGGATTTTTAAATGCTTCATTCCGCTGATGTATTAAAAGTGTTAAAAGAAACTTCTCCTTTTCCAACTGTATATCCAGTACGAGGAGATTTCAGCCTTTCAATAAATTCCCCGGGGAACTTTCCTTTCGATCCCCGGGAGATCTTTTCGTTCTCGAACGTCCATACGGGGAGACTCGTAATTATCGCGCGCAAAAATAGTTTAAGATTTTTCCTATTTGAAGCTGCAACTGGAATATGCATCGGTGGAAAAGTGTCGGCGAAACTTTGTTACTCGCTCGACCGTTGCACGCGGAAGAGCGCGAGAAAGTACGGAAAATACCGTTGGATGACGGGGGGATAATTTACTTCTTTCCATATTACTTTGTTACTTCGCAAAAATATGCCGGGCCCGTATTCTGTGTCGTTTGCAAAGAGAAATCGACAATCACGGCGTTTCTTAAGAACGATTCAATTTTGCGAGGAAACGAGGATAACTCGTTTCGTCGTGTTATAAATTGACGGTGACAGGATACCGAAATATATCGAGAGAATTGATGCGTTTAACACGAGTGTTATCGATTCGAGCACGGCTGACGCGGAAGAGTCGCGTCGATACTCGCAACGGTTCGCTGCGTTCGGCTATCGATCGTCCCCACAATTTCTCAACGATACATATCCATGCACGATATATTCCGCAATTGCGTGCACGTATGCGTGCACGTCACGTGTATACGCGTACGCATAAGAGAGACCGGCGATATCGCGTGATATGTTCGCGCGAGCCAGTTAAACAGTTGACACTTACGTTTCAACACACCCTGGTCATGCGACTTGTATATTTCATAAATTGATCATTAACGTAACTCATCAACCGCGAAAATTGTGGGGAAAAGAATACGAGAAACTACATTACAGTCCCGTTAAAAGGCACAGAGTGATTCGAAAAAAAGCAAGAATGGTGAAATTTGGCGGGTGTATTGTGTGACCAATCCGAAACCGACTTTCCTTTTATCCTCAAAATCCGTTTTTCGTTTGTAACAAAAAACAATTGTACGTTCGAGTTGCGCTATATTCCATGTTTGTGCAAGATTTCAAATTTTTTTTGGAATTCACGGGTCGCCGAACTCCTCTCTCGTTAGTCGCTCTACCGTGCTCACTTCTTTTTTTTTGCGCTACGCACACATTTTCGTCGCGTTTAAATTAAATGAGGTGCCGCGAGCGCGCGCGCGCGACGACGTACATCGTATTATTAAAGCGACGAATATCTCGGCACGCTGAGCGTGAGCGTATATCAATTTCAAACGTAGGAAACGTGGTTTCTCGATAATTCAGAAAAATCGCCCCCGTTCGTCGGGTTTCCATTCGGAGACGCGGAATCTTAAGCATCGGATGAATCTTTCGCGCCCGATCCGAGACGAATGTAAAGTAAGGGCGGGTAATCGTTCAGCTTGAATTTCGACCGATCGCAGCTTGAAGTGTGGTCTGATGTGGATTCACGCTGCCGAGCGAGGACGCGCGGCCGAACGAGCGATATCGTTGCATAATCATAATTGTAAATTAATTTGATCGCCGGCGCGTAACATCCGTATAGCGATCTCTCGTTAGACTCGAGATTGCGATGCTCCTTGCCATTAAATTAGGCATTATCGTGAGCGCGAAGACGAGAGGCGCATTATGCGATTGTATTACCTGGGTAATAAGTGTTGTCTAACGTACATAGTAGCTAGGTAAATGGGGTTGCAGGTGGTATATCAGAAGTTGGGCGGTTGAAAATAATATAGACCGGGGGGGTGACGGGAAGATGAGGAGGACGAGCATGGTGGAGGATAGGAGTGGATGGGTTTATCACGGCTGAGACCAAAAGCCCTGGTACGCTACCTCGATGTAATTTGTGAAGAGATAATAACTGTCGTCCACGAGCACCGTCGCGGTGCTGAAGGATATTTTTTTCTGCTCATATTACGTATTGCATTTAAAAAGGGCGCTCCCCGATGGAATTAAGGTCCGCGCTCATGAGTGATTTTTGTCGTGCCCGTAGCTCCGACAGTGAGCGTTTTAACGCTAGAACGCGGAGTATCGGGGCTCGCCGCTGGAAAATTGTTTCCCGTTCGTATGTAATTGCGGAGAAACTAAAAGAGATACAACGCAATATCGCAATTATGATTTCTTTGTCAGCCCTGTTAGCTTTCGGAATTTTCCTATTTTTCGCTTTCAAACGTAGTCATGTCGTACCTCTCTGCATAAAAAGAATAATTTTCTCCAAATACGATTTCTCCGGCATTTAATTCGGGTAACGAGTCTTACTGCTGAATTTTTGTTAATTATTCATAATTCATCGGTGAATACGTATGAAACAATTCTGTCGAAAAAATCTCCCTCCTCCTCTCCCTCTCTCTCTCTTTCTTTCTCTTTCTCGCGGATATCCACGTTTACTAAGAGTATAATTTTTCTCTCGAAGGGGATAGAAAGTTAACACGGTAAACTAGAATGGAAAATTAAAAGATAAACTTCTCGATGATCGGCGTAAAGCCAACTTTCTCGATAGAAGCAAAGTTTCAAATTTAAAAGGGGCGCAAGGCAGTCTCGTAAACCATGCTTACTTGCAGTTTGATAAGACTCGTAACCCACTGAATAAATCGACCGTGAAGGGTGAGTTACTCCGAAAATCTAAAGGAAGCTATTTCGCCGATGTTTTACCAGATCACGACGAATTCATTATTGAGAGGAGATTCCGCATCCCTGGGACCTATAGCGGCGTGAAAATCACGGAAATTGTAACCCTGATAACCCGCGTCTCTCGTTCCTCTCGCACGGAAATCCAGTGATATTTTTGAACGAGAAAATAGCCACGGACAGCGCTCATTTTTCTGTGATTTCGAGGGAAAAAGAAAGAGAAGAGATGATGACATTTCTCCGGTCTTATCCTGCATCACGCTCACTTGTTTCCCACTCGCCTTGCTTAGATCGGTGAGCCGGAAAAAATCGAGACGATGGCCGGGAAAAGGAATACACGAGCGGAAAGCTCGTTTCGAGAGAGAAATGCGCTCAGAAGAATCCTATTTTATTAATACTCCATTCGCAAACCATTAACAGGCTGTTAACTAACTGCGAGCGGCAATTACTATCAAGTATTCTACGAGGTGGAACATTTTTTCCCGCATTTTTCCCTCGGAAAACGTGTTTTTCGCGTGCACACTCTTTATCCGGCGACCGTTTCAATCGTATCGCGCATAAAATAAAACCCATCCAGTGAGATGGACCGCAATTGGACAGCTGAAGTCAATTGGGCATGGTATATCGTAGAAATTGCACACGCCATATTGTATCTCGCGGACGCAATCTAGTCGCGAGAGATCTACCCTTGCGTTCTAGTTCTTACGCGAATTGGGAGCGCACCTGCGATGCGCGTCCCGAAGCTTATTTCGCTATACGTGCCGGATTGGAAAAAACTGAGAATTGAAGAAGGACTACGAGAGCAGCCAAAGAGGCGGGGAACGGCTTTACACGCCGCGATTCGAGATGCGAGCCGAGGATAACCGCGATGAAGACCGATCGGAAAGGTGTTTATAGCGGTTCGATGGTTTTAGACCTAAGCCAAGCCCGCAACCGGCGTTGTCCGGCCGCCCTCTCCGAAATCGCCCCTTTTTCCTGCAATCTGCTCGTAACTCGCGACGCGCCCGGCCGAAATTTCGGTATTCAACGATCGTCACAGTCCGGCACTGCTATTAGGCCGGTAACTACTTATTCAAACCGGATCGCTCGAAACGCCCACCTTTCTCGGCGGTTGTTGTTAACGCGATCACGTCCTCCTCGCCGAGTCCCCTCGCCTCAATCTCCTCACCTCCGCCATTCTGACCCAACCTTTTTCTGTAACGATGCAGCCCGGATCTCTCCTCTCTCCTACGCCTTTCCGTCCTTTATCCGTCTCCCTACCGCGCCCTTCCAGCCCCTGCTCGCTCACGTTGTTTAGGTGCAGTTTTATTGTGCCTGCAGGGTTCGTTGCCGCACTCCCGGAAGCGGCATGACGTACGCCAAGCGATTCTTGGACCGGAGGAATGGCGGATGAGATCGCAAACATCGCTACGGATCTTTGGTGTATTGGGAGCGACCGATTTGTTGAAAAATAAATGGAGGAGGTGAGGCGGAAAAAGCGAGAAAGCGCGATAGTGAAGGGGAAAGAAAAAGGGAGAGAGAATGTGACTGACAATCTACGAGAGCTTGCTGATTTCGTAACTTGTAATTCTTGGTGTATCCTACTGTTCATTAGTTCATTAGTTATTCCCCGACGTATATACTGCTAAAGTTTTGCCTCTCGAATGTTCCTTTTAAAAGATCCTTTTCAGTACCACCGTGCAATTGTCAACTGTATTTGTATTGCTCACGACATGACGGATAACGAAGGCGGGAGTGCCCGGGAAATATTTGTGGCAGCCGGAAGTTTCCCGAATGTGACATACT